TCCCGAGCACATGGGGCAGCAGCCCTCCCACTCCCTCCTCAGCTGCTTGGGGTAGGCATGCCGAGGGGCCCTGCTGCCCGCGACCCATGGCCGTTTCGAGAGCTAGGTGGCTATCGGCCAGCTATACCAGGCACTATCGAGCACCCTTTGACCACAGCCCAGGTCACTTGTTCTACCCAATCAAGGTTCATTTTACGCAGGCTCCTAATTCAAATTCCTCAGTGAGGGAAGGCAAACCAGTGCACAGCTGAAAACAATGGGGCAACTGGTGAGAAATGCCTGCACATTTGCCCCGTTCTCAATAGCCACCTTCCCATTTCTCTGGCCGAGACAGACTGAAAAACAGCTACATGAGTGGGAACAGTGCGTAGGTCGGCACAAACTCTCTTCATTTGGAGCCAGGACCCAGCTCTGGGGGGTCCTAACAACTCTTCAAACCTACAAAACACCCAGTATCTGTTACTTTTTGCCTCCCTGAATTGCCCTGGCCCTTTTCGAATACTTTCTCTTGTTAAAAGCTGTTGGAAAGTTTCCTGGAGAGGTATAAATACAGCACGTCTTGTGAAACGCGAAGGCTTCAACTTTAGCAATTGATACAGATAAATTAACTTGCACTGCCTACAGCCATGAAATGAGTAATTTGTAGTAGAGCCGTTTCAGAATACGGGCAATGTCATTAAGCATGGGCATCCTTAGGGTTTTCTATTTGCTCTACTAATTAGTGTGTGTTTGCCTAAAGCATCCAGCGTGATGGATCAGTCAAAAGACACAAGCAAACTGATGAACCCAACCATCCATGGCAAATTTAGCAGGGAAAGCTTCGTATCTTAGAGACTGTGGTGCTGCTGCTCTTTGTGCGCCTTCCGAGATGAATAAAGTTGCTGTCCATGACTATTAGACATGACATAATCACTGGGCTAACACTGCACTGGCTAGAGCTAGGATGGTTGCAGAGAGCTTTCTCTCCCAACGTAGGCTTTCCTAACAAGCAAACACTTCACAAGGTTTGCAGCCTTTTTACTTTTTGCATTTTCTGAGACGAAGCTCATTTTACAATTAGATAAATACAGCACTAACCACTATAGAATATCCCTGCACTGACTGGAAAATATTTCAGGTGATGTCTGTGTCTTTTCTTTATTGCTCTCCTTCAGCTGCTAGGATATCAAATACCTATTTGAAGTTTGCAATTACCTGCAGGGAGACATGTGCAATGCAATGCTTTGGCACTCAACTCCTGATTTTAAGACTGCTAATGTTCAAAATAAAACAGCCTGAGTTAAACATCTAAACTAATTATGAGACCCCCGGGAGAGTCAGCTCATGGAGCAAAGGCCACCAAAACTACCCCCATATGAAACATCAAGGTGACAGGTGCCCTAAATCTCAGGGCCATAAAGTGCCTGATTGCCTAAAAGCTGCAGGATTTCACCTCCCCAAACGCAGGAGCAGGAAGCTTAAGCCCAGCTTTAAAATAAATGCAACAGAAAATAAATAGAGCCAAAAGTAAAATACAATAATACATATCACTATCAGAGGGACAGGTCTTCTCCTTCAAAGATGGCAGGTGAGAAGGATGCCTGCACTTGTGCACAAGAGTCTGTTGATCCCAGCTTGCAGTAAGTTCACTCTGAATAGTGCTACCTATGAGGAGATGCAGCTTGCAGAACATCCCCCAAAGATCTTCTCCCTCCATGAGATAGGTGCTTTCCTGCTCATCACTGTCAGGACAGAGCACAAAGAGGATAGTGCTGCTGGGCAGCAAGCTGGACAGAGGAACAGTGCCTCGGAGGACTACCAAGTGCCACTGAAAACCAGCCCACAGTAAAGCCTTTGGGGCCTGCAAGCATTAGCTGGCAACCTGGTGACTGCACTTTCAAATGTGTCTATCCGTTTAGGACCTTTATGTCTTACGGCAGATCTAGCTACTGGCCTAATGTGCTTTATAAGCTCCCTTTGCCTCCCTGCAGCAGTCGTATGCAGTCACATTTGTTACAGAAGATGGGATTTTTCCCCGTTAACTTCAATAAAAGAAAAATCCTGTTTTCACTAAAATCCCTCTGCCTGTCACAGAAATAGGATTTCTGCAGTAACGATCCTGAAATCCCATGCTGTCTTTGAAGACTGTTGAGAAGGAGACCTGCAGGTACCTGTTGCCCTATTAAACAAGAAAAATGGCTCGGCAGACACTTAAACCCATTTCTTGCGGCCCTGCAGCACTGTTCTCCACTGCCTTTCTCCTGGGAGCTGAGAGGGTGAGAAGCAGCGACAGCAGGAGCTTGAAGGGGCCCGCGCACCACCCATGCCCCTGTCAGCCCGCGCAAGGCAGCGCCAGCACCAAGCTTCCAGCAGCTCAATTACATTTGCCTGGGTAGCCATGCATGGCAGAAATGTACTTTTTCCACTGACAGTGGAGGGAGTTTTCATTTCTAATGCATTAACAGAAATATCATATAGAAATATGCTCATTTACACAGCAAGGACAGCCTTGTGAGCAGAGCACCATACATGTTATTAGAGAAACACCGCAGTGCTGAAAGGGAGGGAGAGAGGGAAAAAGATATACCTTTAAGGTTTCCTTGGGGCTTTGCTGGGCAAAAGGTTGAATTAAGAAAACTATGGAATAAAAAGTGTGTATGTTTGAGACAGCAGAGAGGCAAAAACAGCTCACAGAGTGCCCTTCGTGACACAGGCACAACAGGATCTCAACCAAGGCTGCTTTCAAATGGCTCTTCAGAGATCAAGTGTTGACAGGAGCTTGTCTTCCACATTCGGTCTATTTTGAGGAGGTTTCTAAGGAAAGATTCTGGGTTTCCAGGAATATTTAAACTCAGGATTATTTCTAAAACTGGAAAACAATTTTTTTAAAAAAATCTCTTCCTTTTTAATCACACAATGAGTCTCATGAGCTGTCTTTGGGGTTCCCGAGAGCTTTGAAGTTAAATGGTGTCCAGATCGCCAGACCTAACACTGGGCCTCACTGACTTCCAGAAAAACATCACCACAACCCTGAGCACCGACTTCTAGATTGTGTCTCCTCAAACTGCACCTCCCTCACCAGTCACTGCCTTCAGAGCATCTGAAAGAGGTGACAAAGTGCAAGAGACGACTTAGACTGTCAATGGTTCTGCCTTCTACTAACAAAAGCAAAATACTCCACATACCTACTTCTTTTACATCACTACCATTTCTTTCTCACTACCTTGCATCATCATATGCACGTTAGCAAATGCCTTTAAGCTATCTCTGGCTACCTGACTCAGAAAAGTAGTGGTTCAAAGTTCTATAAAAACAGTAGCTATGAGGACAGTAGTGATCTGAAGAGACGAGTGGGGTAGGAAGGAGTTCTGTGATGCTCTTCATTAAATCTGGAGATTTAATGATGAGCAGAAGGAGTCTTGACAACTGCAGCGCATAAGCTAGAGACAGCATGGGGACACAAAGGTATCTGGAGGCAGCGGTGCACGCTTGGAAAACTTCCAGTCCTAAAAGGAAACTCTAACATGACTGATTACACTTTTAAAACTGCTGTACACTCAAGAACTTCAAAATACTTGAGGAAATCAGTCTTCATTTCTTTGACAAAAAATAATTAACACCACAGACTGTGCATAATGCAGAGCCATAAACTTGATGAGCTGTGCCCTGAGACGGACATATAACCGGAAAGAGCTACTTCATCATTAAGTTCCGACCCATGTAATTTTAAGCAACAAAGGCAATGGAAGCTTTTAGTCCAAAAAACTCAAAAAAAATTTCTCTATTACATCACCTACACCCATAAGCCAAAAGATACATTCCAATATTTTGAGAGAAACTTAAAACTAGAGAACTGAAAACCAAACACAAAAGCTGCAGGACACCAGGGAGAATATTAAATGTGCAGGGCATAAACCTGTACTCCCTATATCCTCTACAACACCTCTCTTACGTGAAAAAATGTGAAATGATTCTTAGAGTACAGAGAGTAGACTATGCACAACTATCGGAAGAAAGCAAAAATCCCCACGCCTTCACTCCCAAATCTCCCTGGACTCTCACACACTTCCCCAAACTGTACAGTTCCTGTCAAGCTGACTTGGAACAAGTTTTTTCTTGGTCTAAGTGTTTTCATCAGTTTAATTTAAAAAGCACAGGGAGAGACGTACTATGTTTGTGAGAGTTTAGCTTATCATGCCATTTGCCGCTTCAACTCGCCATCTGAAGCCATTGTAACACGAAAGGGCAACACATGAGATCGGAATGAGCAGCAGTCCATTTGCCTTTCTTCTGGGTCACACATTTCATGAATCACCTTTCTGAGTCACCTTTTCAGGTTTTAGAAATAAAATATTGGAAAGCACAGGAAACAGGGCTAAAAGAGTCCTTGAAAATGTACCATGGCAGCAGCACAAATTCCAAAACCACTGCTGACCAATTCCTGTCCTTACATGCACTGTATAATCTGCACCCCTACAAACACGTGTATTTTTGGCTTGTGTTCATCTTTGATTTCCATTAACTTATCCACAAGCAAAACAAGACACATATTCAACACAGCTCTTGCAATATTATAAACAGATTCTGAT